ATAATTACGAGCCTGAAAAACAATGGTACCGAAAGCATCGGTAGGTGACGTCTGAGTGTGGGTGGCGATTGACCATGGTTGACCATCTTCAACTCGTGCACCTTGCGAGAACACTGAGAAGCGCGACAGAGCCAGTTGTGAATGAGCGGCCATCAACCGACCGCAACCGCATCTGAAAATAAAATCAATGACAAAAAGTTCAAGCGGCATGTAACTGTCTCAAAGTTATGACGAGAATGCTGAGTCATGGGAAAAAGTAATAATCTGAGGCGGGACCATCGAGGGCCTTTGCTCGTAACTCAGCACTCTTTCTGCTGATAAGTTTCTAGGAGCGCATTGCAGGGTTTGACTGTTCCGAAGCGCCCAGAGAACGGTGCAATTTTGTGCCTCTAGGTCGGCCTGTCGGGAAATCCACGTTGCTGTGACACGAAGAAGGCTAGTGGTAAGTGGCGTCTTATTCCTAGTGACCTACTGAAATTGACCGATATTTCAGCTTCCTCTCCCAAAACACCATGTTCACTCCATATCCCGATAATGAGGAGGTCGTAGATAGGAATCAACTAAAACTGCTGCAATTATGTTAGCTAGTCGCCGCAACGTGGATCTCCTGACCGTCTATGCTGACAATGATCCAAACTCCTTACACCACAATCTGATTGTCTAACTCCTCCCAAGATTGATGACGGTGCCACTTACCTATCAGGGGTGCCTGGCTGAGCGACAAACTTGATGCATTCCCGTTTTTCAAACGCATGTTCGATCCATGGACCAGTGAGCTTCTCGGACTGAAACGGAATTTTTCAACCTTTCGTCTCAATGGATGGTGAACTGCGCTCGAAACTGGCCAGATAATTGGACTATTAGATTATGAGATTGGCCATCAGATTATTTGGTCAGAGAACACGAATTAGCACAACGAAAACTTTGTGAGCTTATGCCAACTCATTTTCGTGCAATGGGTGCTTGTAAGGCCCACATTCGGCCAGCACTGAATCAGCAGGCTGCGTTCATACATTGGGCCACAGCAAACCATCAGCGGTCGCTCGAGAGGCCTACGAAAAGCAGGTTGATTGATCTAGCTTCCTAGCAGCGACCACAGGTATTTGCGTAGATAGTACGGTGCGTCTGCACACACACACTTTCGACAACGCCTACACAGCTCTTTCTCCATCTACTTCCCATATTTACAGCAAGTCTGCTATCCTCTACACTTTCCTACCGTTCAACTCCTGGTTCGCACGCCGATAGGGCTAGATCGATATCTCATACTTCCCTGGTTCCCAGATAAGTTTGATTTGGTCGCGATGAATGCTGACATGGAGCTGCGTAGACGCTGCCCAAAGTATATAACGGCAGGCCTTGGTTTTTACCATTTGTGTGATATGGAAAATCAGCCTTTAGCAAACTTCAAACGGGCCGCCTTGCACCCTTCCTCCGCTAATGGGAGTGACGTACATCCAGCCATTTACTCCACTGGGGATTACTTGTCACTCAGACCATAAGCTAGAGTATGAATAAACAAAACCAGTTTAAAGGTCAAGGCTCAGATGAAGAAGCCTCGAAGAGGCTCTTATAGGAGGGTATAATTGTAGAGTTTCAGCGCCTGAAAGAGAAACGAAGACAAATGCTAAATAACAGAGTACTGTAATTAGTGAATCTGTGAGTTCATTCAGTCAAAAGATGCTCATGGCCAACCGCGTAACCAGCGACAGGTTCTAGAAGCTTCTTGTAAAACAAAGGACTCACCAGAGCCCTGGCGAAGAGATTAGGGTTTTCGAAGAGCCTTGTAGTATTTCTTCTTGATGTTTCACCGGATCGCATTGAGGCCAAACTGGTGATCGTACCGACACCACAAACCGAATTCCTCGGAACACAAAGTTTGTCGCCGATGAGTGAATGGGTCCTGACACGAGAATTACAGTAGCAAAGAACGAAGTACAAAGAACGAAAACTGAGTGCTGTAGGAGAAAAATATGGGTTGTGTACTCCCTTCGTTTCATTTAAAGAAAGATGAAAACAAAATTCTAACAAGGATGAGCCGCACGGTGCAGCGCGGCGATTCTGGAAATGTTCTTCAGGGATTATTTTGCTCCCGCACTTTTTCGACATTGGATTGTTTGGTCATTTTTCTTATTTCCCAGGAAAGTCAGTAGATATCGTTCTGCGTATCTGGAGGTATAGATATTTTCACATATGAAAAATCTTCATGAATCAAGGGGGTACGGTCTGGAGATCCGAGTTGCGATAGCGCACATAAACTAGCTCAGGACGCCATTCTCTTGCTTATTGTATGTAGCACATTCTTGTTAGAGGCAGTCCTCGCGGTCGAGCAACTCGTAGGCTGCCTTCTTTGTGCAAGCAGTCTGGTTCTCATTCTCTAAGACGATCTCACCTTTGCAGCTCACAGTAAGTAACGAAGGCGCTGTGGCCCTCACAAGTGGCAGTTCTGACGCCTCCTAGTTGTCCCGCCCACCAAAACTCAAAGCTATTTTTTGCCACAAGTTCAGTTTTCACACCGCACTCTCGCTTGTTTTCCACTGTTAGATGGTATCAGAACTTGATGAAATGCGAAAAAATGATTAGTGAGCCACAGGCGGAAGCGGGTCGTTTTGCTGGCATAAAACGAGTGCGTCCGGAGAACTCGTCTAGAGAGCAGCCTCACTCAGAGTGCTCTCCATGATTTTTTGCTTTCTAAACCCAATGTACTCGTTTCTCCTTGAAAAAGTTATTTAGCAAATTGAACCAAAAACGCAATGTACTCGTATGTATTGTCTTCGGCGCTAATTAGTTCTTGCTGCAGAATGCCTCGGACCGCCGTTATGCCTGCAAATTACTGTGAGTCAATAAGAGATTAAATAAACCGGTCTTGGTGGGTTACGCTGTAGATGTGCGCCACACACAACTAACAAGCCCTCGCATGACTTAATTCAGATCACTGTTTACAGTAGCAGTAATATCATTACGGTTTACAGTGATAAAAGAACTGGAGAGAAAGAGAACCAATGTCGTATATACTACAAAAGATCGCCTATAATATAATGTATCCCCGATATGTATGTCACGGCGATGTATTTATGATAAAGCTCCTCTCGCCTGAAGCTGTCAAGGAGCGGATGAAGTGTCCCAATGAATAAAACCGCTGAAATGACTCACGTAAGCCGAAGGAACAAATAAGGGCGCCTTTATTCCCATTGTCAGATCTAAGCGATAAGGGGCTAGAGATCCGTGACAACCATTTTGCACATATTTTGAGTCGCAGCGATTTTGGATGTTTACCTATGTAATTTCTTGACTGCTCAGTGTTTCGATCTGGTGAGGTTATGTTCATACTTTGCGGCAGCGTCCACCAGCGTCTACCAGCAACCAGTAGCGTTCCGAGCGTCCGGCAGCGTCAGCGACTAGGAAAGTATGGATATCGATCTAGCGTCTACCAGCATCTGCCACCGAGTAGAGTACCCTCTACTCGGTGACAGATGCTGGTAGACGCTAGATAGTAGGACCGACACCTGCCAAAGCACAGAATTATGCAGTTTAATGTACGGTGTAGTGTAGTTGTACGGTGCGGTTGCACACGCCGCAATTTCACGACGCCTAATCCAGCTGTTTGCTAATCTCCTACTTCCCCATACTCTCTTCTCGGCCGCTGGTGAACCCTTGTGGGCGCTGGTAGACAATGGTGGACTCTGCAGCAAGGTTTAAAGCAGCCTAACAAAAGATTCTTCACTAATGAGTAGACTC